TTTAAAAGTTAAAATTTGGTAAAATTCAAAGTGTCAGAAAATAGAGGAATTGCACTGAGGAGCGCTGTGGAAAGCCATCAATAAAAGATTGCTCAAACACCTGTGATGCAGGCTGAGATTCAAGACCCCTGGGTGGGGACATACTTTTCCTTAACTATAAGGATAACCCTGGGAATAATATGGTAGACCCTGGACACTGAATCCTTATCTATTTCTCCTCCATGCAAGAAGAGGAGAAAGCCTCTCCTGAGTAGTTCCCTACACCAGCAACCGTTTCATAGCAGTGAGGAAGTCTTGCACTAATTGGTGCCTGTGAAAGTGTGTGCACCTATTGATGCTGGGAAATCCTGGTAGCATTGTCCGGGACAGCCCTAAGTTCAGAGCAGCAAAAAGAGGTTAGCCAAGGGAATAAAGCAAAAGTAGCAATAGCATTTGTTCTGCTAATATGTGGGGAGACAAAAGAAAAGAGCTGGGGAATAGCAAGTCTTCAGAGAGTGGAAAATTATTGACAGGCATGGTTGATATTGCTGAGAGCTCTAAACATATTCCTAGCTTCAGCAGTCACAAACAAAGCAAAGGGTGCCATCCTAGAGTCAGGAACATGCTTCCTGCAGAGAAGGAAAGAAAAGTGTTAAATTGGCTTTTCCTATTGTTGAGTAGCAGACGAAATGGCTCTTTTCTGCTATTGGAAGCTTTCTAAATATTAAAAGCTTGACAAGGCCTGGGGTCGGTTAGGCTGTAAATAGCAACATCTATCTTTAATTGAAGATTATGAAGGATTCAGTGAATTTCTGTCCTGTAAGCTCTACATCATCTGTGTGACAAAGACAAGGAAGGCAATGGCAAAGAATGCGACTATGAGAGTTTTGAAATGCAGAAGAAGGGGCAGCTTCTATGAATTCCTGGCACACAATTTCTGGCTGTTAGTCTTTAATTCTATAACAGGCTGCAGATCATTCAGGTGGCCAACACATATTGCTTGATATGCTGGTCCCAGAAACTGTCACAGTGCCAATGCAACCTACCCCATTAGGGGACATCCTCTCCGTGAAATGCCTCTGAAAACGGCTGTCAGAGTAATGAATCGTTTGCTACTTTGAGACACAGATTTTTTGTTTTCTTTGAGCTTATTGGAAAAAAAATAAATATCTGTTTGGGTTTCCTTTTAAAGCATTTAATCTAAACCCCCTTTGTGGCTTTGACAGCAGGTTCACTTTTGATCAAACTCCAGAGCCCTTTCAGAAGCTCTGAAGAGCTGGAATGAAAGGCGTTTTCCTTTCCCATCCTCCTCATTCTGCTGGGCTTCAGGAGGTCAGGGGGTGAGTTTTTATTGCTAACCACTTGAAAATAAAATTAGTCTGTGGAGTTATCTTTGGATAGACACTGTAAATGATGGATTTCAGCAAAAGCAAGAACATGTCATGGAAATGGGGTAAAAACTAGCTCAGGAACAGAGCAGGTTTTCATAAAGACTCAAGCAAGGAAAAAGTGCCACAAGAGGCATTCTTGAAATAATCATGCTCTCCTGGTTGGATAAAAACCCCACTGAATTATTGCACTAACCAGTATATTTTGAATTACACCCTTATTTACACCCAGTCTTTCTGGTTGATCTCCCTGAGATACCCAGATGTGGGCTAGAAGTGACAGCATTTTCTCATAACACAAAAATGCATGAAGCTACCAAAGGGCAAAAAGGGAGCAGAACAAGAAAACAGAAGTAGACACTTTAGTGAGACCTAAGGCTAACGGGAGACATGAGGTAACAGAGGAAGGACACTTACAGTCACTTAGCAGAGTTAGATCAGAGCAAGAAAAGGGCAGAGAGCTTGGTCAACAAGCATGAAGAACCAGATGTTTGGCTGCTTTCAATAATAGCCTTTTTTTGACCAAAGGTGTAGTGTGTACCTGTTTGGAGTTGCAGAGCAGGCAGCGCCTTCTCTGCATGCTTGGTTGTGACTGTGATCAGAGCATGGGGTAATCACAGGGGCAAACAAACAAATAAACAAAATAAAAAATAAGAACCCTTTAGAAGTAAGGAACCCTTCTCAAGACCCAGCTCTTTTTCTGGCCACCCCCACAAACCAACAGCAGCAACAAAAACACAAAAGCTTTATAGACGCCCCTGTACTCTCTTACTGTCATACAGTTAAAAGCTGGCCCATCTGAAAACTCCAGTTAAGAGTAAAAAAAAACCCAAAATGAGTTTTTGATCAGAAGAGCAACCATTGCACATGTGTTTTCTTGCTTCCCCGCTGATGTACCTTTCAGTCTGATATGCACCAAGTTTTCCATATTAAATTGTTTAAGTAAGAATCAGGTAGCCTCATCATCCATTTTTCGTGTGTGGTCCCTTTTAAGCCCAGTTTTCCTTCTGTACAGTCATGCCCTATTCCCCTTCAGTAACACAGGGCCCCTTCTCCCAGGTAGCTGATACATGGGCAAAGCTGGTCCCAACCCTGCCAACTTGTTATGCTCCCCATCACCTTCTCTCCGATGCATATTTACCACCCCTTCGGACTTTGTCCCAGTCTCCACCCTCTTGATTGGTGCTAATTAACATTGGTTCTCGGACCTTGGTCATCCATCTAATTGTTTTCAATCCAATTGAGAATTTTGCCCTCAATATCTATGTCCCAGAGGGATTTACAAGGAAAGATTAAGGACACCAGATAGCTAGGTGAGCTAAAGAACAAGCTAAGGAAGTCTGAGGGCTCAGAGGTGTCTGTGGTGCACAAACAGCATCAGCAGGATCATGTCTTCCTTGTGCTGAAGAGGACTAATTGCCCTGAAATCGGTGGCCTGGCTTACTGAGGAAAGTCATTGTAAAAATGGAAATCAAGACTATAAGCCAGAAGGAGGAATTGTTCAGGTTACAAGGGGTTTTGTGGGGGATTGAAGGATGAAACTGTCACATGAATAATGTAAGCAAAATGTCATGGAGAGCTGTGACACTGCAGTGGGGTCTTCCCCGAGGGGGCTGTAAGCCCTGTCACTTGAGTCACTTGAAATCAGGTGAGGCAAAACCTCTAAGCATCTACCAGAAATAATGGCCCTTCATTTTTGTCAGTGACTAGGATAAGATCGGTCTCTCCTGTCACTCATTTCTGAGTTGCTACTAGGTTAATGTGACCTGAACCAGCAGACTGTGGCAGCAGCCTTCCAGGATGGCCATAGATGAAGAACGCAAGGATCCACGTTGTCATCTCTCATTGCCAATGCCTTGGAGAATTGATTGTGATCTGCTGAGGGAACAAAATATTATCACGACTGGATTTGAGCCCAAGCTCTATGCCAGGCCCTTTGTATAGAGATGACAGCCATACAGTTTTGTTTGACAAGTAGGATGAGTCTGTTGCGAGATGGTCAAAGTGTTTCTGGCTGGGACAAGGTTGGGACATGTTCTGGGAGGTCACTTTGAGACAGTACAGCCAGAGCCATACACCAGTGGTGAGAAATCTGATTGTTCTTTTTCCACTCACATGCTCAGGGAATACCACAAACTATTACTCTGAAGTTAGGATGAAACTACAACTGCATTACTGTATGCAGGTCTTGCTATTGTGTGACTAGCTTCCTTGAATGACTTGCGCTAGCAACCCTTTGGCAGTTTTAAGATGCATTTATGCCCAAAGCAGTCCTATATGTCTGAAGGGCAGTGGAGTTTAGGGTGTCACAAAGACTGGTGTGCCCAACCTGGCGTTTTCTGAAACATCAGAGCAAAAAGAAATGCAGAAAGCATCAGTGCAAAGACAGCATCCTGAAAACCATCAAAGCCATGAAACAAGTGGACTTTCTTGCATGGAAGATAGGTAGAGGGTGCAGAGGGAGGGTGTCATGGTTTAAGCCCAGCCGTAACTCAGACCCACGCAGTCCCTTTCGCACTCCCCCGCTTCCCACCCTCCCCCCCTCCCTGCTCCAGGAGGGATGGGGAGGAGAACTGAAAGAATGTAACTCCCTGGGTTTGAGATAAGAGCAGTCCAGTAACTAAGGCATAACACAAACCACTACTGCTACCACCAATAATAGTAATGATAAGGGAAATAACAAGGGAAGCGAATAGAACCGCTCACCACTCACCGACCGATACCCAGCCCGACTGAGCAGTGATCTAGCCCTTCTGGGTAACTGCCCCCAGTTTATACAGTGGGCATGATGTGCTGTGGTATGGAATACCTCTTTGGTTAGTTTGGGTCAGGTGTCCTGTCTCTGCTTCCTCTGCGCTTCTCCTCCTCCCTGGCGGAGCATGAGACTGAGAAAGTCCTTGGTCAGAGTAAACATTACTGAGCAACAACTGAAAACATCGGTGTTATCAGAGCTGCTCCCAGGATGAAAGTCAAAAACACAGGACTGCACCAGCTGCTGAGAAGGAGAAAAATGACTGCTACTGCTGAACCCAGGACAGAGGGAAATCTGCCACTATTGGATGAGACGGGATGAAAACTGGAAGACTAGGAGGCGTTGGGTTTCAATAAGATGCCAGTGCCAGAAACTGCCCCACTATATGTCCATTTGTTCTGGCTGCATCGCAAAATAAAATAATGAAATTGGTGAAAAAGAGGTAATAGTATTAGCTCTCACTGGCATTTGAACAGCTGCATGTGGATGGAGATGTTACACGTATCCTGAAACCTAGATTCGCTGTTCAGTGGGAAATTCTGAAACTTCATAAATACGCAAGAAAGCTCAAGCAAAATTGTTCTATGTCAAAACAACCCCCCTGAGTAGTGAACTTACTAGCAAAAAAAGAATTCTAAGGCTTTGATTTTTCAAAACGAAGTTGATGGAATTTGCTCATGACATGGAGCAGAGTTTCCAGATTCTGGGCAGGCAGCATGGCCAGGCAATTATCAGACAGAACATCAAGAAGACAGAAAGTAAGCAATAACCCTAGAAAGTTGTTTGGTTTCTATTAAAAGACTGGTGAAATTAAACCACTACATATACTGACGAAGAAAAACTGTCACATGATAATCCCAGAATCATCCTCTGTGCTACACAAATACTCCCACAGGATGATAAGCTGTCCCCATGTGGGTGCTGGCTTGCAGCCCTGGTCTACTTGGGCTAAGAATCACGGCCCCTTAGCATTAGATGATTACAATGCCAGTGTTTATATTCAAGCTAATCATTGCACAGGGACAATTCACTCCCTGGAAACTGCACGAATGCACAGACTTCATCTAACCCAGAAACCTTACCATGAATGCTTTTACTTCTTTAAAGTGAGCCCAGGATTCTTAATCCAGGTGTCTGTAGCTGCAGTGCAGTCACCTAAAGTTGTATGAGATGAGTACCATTGATAATCCCCGTTGACTTTAATCAGTTAGGTGCTTAAATCCCTTTGTTGGAGCTGAAGTTTAGTCCTGTATCTAACTGGACTGCCCTTCAGATGACATAAAATGATAGGGATGACCCTATAGAGATCCAAGCAGGGGTGGGAAAAGTCCTGTTTAATACCTATAAGAGGAGGGACACAGTATATCTGACTTCTGCTGAATAGTTGTGGCCTGGAGAAATGAACCCATATGGGGTAGGATTTATCCTTTCTTTTCCCTGCAACAGTCACCTACTGCCTAGCATACAAGACTCTCAAACCTGAAGTACATGGAAAGCTGGTACCAGCCAGACAGGAAAGCTATTGACTCAGTGTGATCCACTATGTAACTAACAATTAGCAGCTAGAAGGAGGCTGAAGACCTGGCAGCTGCAGTCTGGCTGGAGGATTTCTTAAGTAAGCAACCTATTCAGAGTCATTAACCTACCTGCACTCCCATGTGCACAGGGCAGCCTTCCCAGCAAGCCTTTGGGTCACAATTTGCATTGCTTTTGGACTCTGTCACGAATGGCCACCCTTACAAGTGGTATGTCTGGGAGGGAGACTACATTTTAATGGCTTTGCTCAGTAGCTTGCCCTGTCAGTGTGCAGTATGTGCTGTGACTGCAAGACAAAAGATTGTTCAACCCTTTCAACAGTGCTTTCCAACAGTGCTTCTCATGAAAGTCAGTGCAGACATTAGTGGAAGTAGGATTGGACTCTGAATAAGCAGGGGGAAAAAGAGCGCCATATGTTGGAAGGAGATTAATATTATATAAATAATAACCCATAGAGTCATCTTGTAAGTGGGCAGGCTGATCTCATTATTGATCTACAATTAAACCGAACTGTGGGGTCAAACCATCCTATTATGTCTAGCAGATTAAGACTGTCTCTTTTCATTATTGTTTCTGAGAGAGTTTTGGAGCTTTCTTAATTTGGGTCAAAAATGAGAGGCTTCCTAATAAGCATTTTAATTAACCAGCTGAAAAATTCTATTGCCCCCAGAGACTACCAAATCCAGAGCTCAGCACTGCTATACCTCTCAGACTATTGTATTTCAGCTCAAATTGTGTTCGTGTCCCTTTATTCAAGTCACAAACACAGCAAATCAAGCCCACCCCCCTCCTGCATTGACAATTTTGGGAAAAAAAATGTATCTTCAAAGTCTGATTTTTGACCTAAGCATGTTCTTTGCTCTCCCCAGCGCATGAGGACCAGCATATATGAGGAAAGCAACATAAACCTGAGGAGAAAAGCCCCTTTGGCTGGACCGTGGGGCTATGAACACCTTGGCAGGCATCTTGCCTGCTTCAATCCACCAATGGAACAGGGTCATCCAGCACTGTCTCAGGGCTGAGTAAAACCCCAGTTCTTTTGCAGGGCTGCTCCATGCACCATTCCCCCAGGAAGAGGCTATCAGTTGAGTGGCTGGGTTTCTGCAGAGCATGCTGCTCCTCTAGCAGATGGGGAATTCCTTCCTGGTCCATGGTGGCTCTTCCCCATGCTTGCTAGGCTGCGGTTACTCATGGCGGCACTTCTGCAGCAAGCTGACTTTGCACCACAGGCCACCCATTGTCCCAGGAGTCTTGTTCAAGGAAATGAACTGCACACTCCCAAATTAGTCATGGGTGAGAAAAACATGCCCCAGACTTCCCCTGCTCCCCCGCATTCTTCTCTATGTGGAACTGGTGCAGATACTGCTCCTTTCCAACTTGTGGGGTAGTGGCACACCATAAGTGGGGAGGACATTGAAGAGCAAGTATGGTTTTGGGAAGGGCAGCAGCTCCAAGTGGTGGGGGACGAAGGAGAGAGTGCTGGGCAGCCAGGCAGTGGTCAGCTGCCCTTGCAGCTGTGAGTAGTACCCCGCAGCAGGGATGGTAGCAGCGAGCTTTCTTGGCATCAAGCTTGGAGCCTTTCAAGAGTAAAAATGAAGTTTTAGGTGAATCAATGCAGACTTTTAGTTAAATACAATTTACAATCAACCTTAATTGTTTCCCTGGTGCTCAGTAATTAAGAAGAAAAGTTTAAGAGGAATAGACTCCCTAAACCTGGTGGTGTGCTGTCACCCAAGTATCAAGGCAAAATACCCTTTTTCTAGCCATAGAAAAACTCCTGAGAGGGAAAGCGCATGTGCCAGCCTAGATCATATTAACTGTCCTGAACTTGGCAAGGATGTAAGTCAGAGGCAAAAATTGATGGTCAACCTAACAAGGCTGGACGCTGTAAAGAGACACTGCCTATAAGGAAACGTGGCTTTGTCCCTGAAAATGTCATATTCCTTCCTGTTTAGGAAATTTCTGATGGTAAAGATATTTTCAATCAAAATATAATTTACAGGGAAGTGATTCAGAAGTAAAAGGGGAAGGACCATCCTGCAAGAGTTACCTCACATCATATTTACAAGGCAGAATTAATTTAATGAAGAAATGTGTTATTTAACCATGTTTGGCGGTATTTCTCTTAATCATATTGCCATGTTTGTCTTTTCCAGTCCTTCTTCACTGGTATAGTCCCATGTGAAGAGATGACCTGGTGAATGATAGCTGTCTCTCCCTTAGTGGCTTTTTATGTAGCCTCTGATACTCACTGTGATATACGACTTGGGAGCAGGGATGAAATCAACTTCTGTCAGATGCTGAAGGCCACCAAAATTGCCAAATTTTTCATGCTTCCTCCACTTGGCTCGCTGGTTCTGGAACCAGATCTGAATACAGGCAAGAAAGCAAAGGTACAGAAATGAACAGGAGATGAAGGAGGATCTGCTCACATCCAACTAATTTCCCTGTTCTCTAAGTGAACATCAGAAAACGTTGACCTCCAGCTCAGCAGAACCAGTGACTGAATCTAAAGGAAAACATCGGATTTGACACAGAAGCTTTCACACTTCACATGGCATGTGGGATGTGGGATGACATCCTTTTTGCTCTCACAACTCACAGAAGAGCTAAGATCTACCTATGAAAGGGCTAGGATCTACTGGATGGACAGTGTCATAGGGAGGAGCATGCCTTTCAGGGCTCTCCTGGGGAAGCAGATCCTTTTGCGGTCAAAGCTTTGCAGCAGTCAAGGCAAATGGCATTCTGTTTTCCTTAGGAGGTGTGATTTATTGCATGACATGGCTTTTTCACCCTGCTCCCAATTCCCAAATGAATAGACTGGGAAAAGACCCACTTAGATGTTTTGCTGGGCTGCAGTAAAAATGTGTCGCCAGTGGAGATGTAGTAGCAGGGTTCTTTCTATATTTAACTGGTAACATTTTGAAGTTCACATAAGAGAACTAAGAGCAGAACCAAGGGGATCACTCAGCAGTCTGTTACCTGACATCTCTTTCTCACTGGAAAGCAGACAGCTAATTTTCTGAGGGGAGTTTCTTTCATCTGATCAGTCTGGTTGCTGGTGGGGGTACACAAGTAGTTACTGTGCAAGCCACAGTAGTGCATCTTGCTGCATTGCTGTGAAAGGTTGAATCCCCCTTCATTGTAGTTTCTAGCTGGCTTAGGAACTTGCTGTTTGGATGTAAGCAAGCGTTTCACACAAACACAAGGTGTTAGTGATCAGAACCAGATGCTACTGGATGTAAACATATATGTATTTTAAATCAAATAATGAGCAGCTCAATAATTTCTGCATCTCTTGCCCAAGAAGCAATGGGAATGTCAGGAGCCCTCTGCTATATTGCTGATAGTTAGCAGTATCTGAGGTTACTGAAAGGACAGTTTTGTTTATCTGGGTTTGCATGTGTTTGAAAACTGCTTAGTTTGTATAAACTGCTATATTCCCTTTCTACCATGCAGGAGTTATATGGTGAAACAGCACCATAAAAATGACTCCTCTTTAACAGCGACAAAGTGATTGAGGGCAGACGGGGGACTGAAGCCAAAATTCAACCTCTGAAGTGCTCCTTCCAAAGTATGCACATGGGATAAAGTCCTCACTTCAGGATTTTTTTTTTTTAATTTATTTTTTATTTCATAAAGGCAAAACAGTATTCACAGACCAAGCGGCTCTTTTTTTGTCCATCCAGCTCTCCAATACTCTTACCCTTAAAATGACTTTTTGTCTTCTTGTGTTCCAGGACTGTTAAATATCAACACTGATGACCCGAAGTGCTTCTCAAGCAACTTTTTAAGAACTACTGGAGGTAAGTCACCTAGATATCTGGATTTAAAAATACCTGTCTGTAGCAGCTGCTGTTCCACATTGTCCTTATGGATAAGTGTTTCATCATCGTGTGATACTGTCACCTTACCTGACATTTCCAAGGATAGAGCAGAAATTATGACTGAATATCTTTGCCATTTCTACATTATCCCTGGCAGTCCCACAGTTTCTAGAAAGTAGCAGATCAATATAATTGTTGACTTGATTGTTTGGTTTTTAATTTTTAATGGACTTTTATTGAGTTTCTAACGATCCTTAATTTTCCCAACCAAAGCTTTGGCCTGTATCCTTCTGCTTTGCTTATTAATTTTTAATAATTTCTTTCTTCTAATATTTACTCATACAGCATTCTTCACTTTGTGTTGCAGGTAGGCATGCACACATGCAGGGTTATAATTCCATCTATCCACTTAAACTGTTTCACAGCAATCATACCTTTGTTTCTTGATTGGAGGACACAAGGTTTTTCACAGTTACGAAACGCTTCACTTGGTTACCCAATAGTTCCTCACCTGTTTTTTTGTTTCCAGTTAAATTATCTTTCTGATGTGATTTGGCTTATTCTGCTTTTAGGTTTGTCAAAACTATTATTTCAAAGTACAAGAGCATGTACAAACTCTCTGCATGCTGTTTTGTTTATATGCGACAAATACAATCAATCAAAATTATAACAACTTGTAACTTGTGCCTAAGATACTGCTTATTTTTAGTCCCGTGGCTGGTTTTCCCTTGATCCCTTGGTTGACCTTGATTCCCAAGATGAGGTCAAGCACAGAATTTCCTGTGTCATGTATAACACTGTGTAAATTGGAATTTGCCATCTGCCATTCATACATGAGGGGCTTTTTCTTCTTTTGCCTACGTCTCAGGTTGATGTTTCCCATGATAACTGTTCTTTATTTTCCAGCCTACAGATTATAAATATTTTCTAAACAGAAGATTGCCTTGTTCTTTCATGTGATTTGCTGTTCTGTTGGGAGCACTGACTAGTAGCCCGGCTTGTGCTTTATACCATTGGAAATGCATTGTGGGTACAATGATATCGTTAATGGGCATATTATGGCTATGCTGTTCCAATTCTCCCTGTCACCTAACTATAAAGCAATGTCATCATGGTTAGTCAATAGTCCCAGACATGTCATAATCAATAAACTGCTTGGTGTTGAACTTTAATTGTTACAGTTGAATATGAGCATGGAAGTACACTGATGATTCTCGCCTTATGGCAAGTACAGAAACTGACTCATGCAAAAATCATCACAACAGTGCCTGGTAAACAACACCAAATTCCAATACACAGTGGAATGTATATTTTAATGTAGCAGATTTCATATGCAGTAAACATTTGGGGTCAGTTTTAAGCACAGTCAGCAAGACTACATTACAGCTGGGGGGGGAACTGAATTAGTTTTCATGCACTGAAATTACAGCCAGGGCATTTATAGCCTGTGATATCAAAATAGAGAACATTAGGAAAGCATTTTCATTTGGGCAGTTATTTTTATTTTCTTGAAACCCTGTGGAAGATGGATGTGGATGACAGTTTGTACTGGATGTACATTAGTCTATAAAAGGTTGAAAAATGATTAATAATTATTTTCATAAATGGCCCTTCTGTCAGTACAGAGTCCAACAGGTTGCTCATAACCATCTGTAACTCCTATTTGCTATGCATTTAGTATGCTTAGAGCTCCTGTTAACCCTTTGATTAATCCCATTTGGTTAGTACTAGCTGAGTGACAAATACTTTTTTCCCTATTTGTAAAAGGAGAGCAGTGATACTGGCCTTTTCTGTAAGGTAACATAGAGGTCACGTATTTCATTAGTGTTGTCAGCCAGGCATAAACTATTAAGAATGTACTCTGAATAAAGAATTGCTGCAGTGAGCATAGCCTTTCGGAGACAAATGTACCTGAACTCTGGCTTCTGGGAGGTTTATCTTTGCTGCCAGTTGATTGCGAATATGGACATCTGGGTAGTGAGTCACTTGGAAAATCTTCTCCAGTTCCTGGAGCTGCTCGGCTGTGAATGTTGTCCGGATTCTCCGCTTCCCTTTTCTCTCAACTGTGTAAACAAGAAAAGTTGTATTGCATTTTATAGGAAAATGCCACAGGGCCACAAGAAGATTCAGAAATCCAGCAATCTCTGTAAATTGCTATGCAGGTGGGATGGCACCTCCAGCACCTTCTAGAAATATGCTTACCATAGGTGACTGTCTCCTGACCCAGCAGTGAATGTGAATGAATTCCTTTGTCGTTCAAAGAGTCAAAGGAGCCCATTTGCAGTGCTAATTCCATGGATCCACTGCACGTAAAAGGCTAGAAACCCCTATGTATTTTAACCACACTAGCCCTGGATTTGCTATGAAATTCCATTAGTCACATGCACACATCTGTTGCTAATATGCAATCCTGTATTAACTATTTGTGAAGAAACCCTTAATGTAAACAGAATGAAAGAGTAGAAGCTGTATTTTGTCTTGGTGCTGTTCTCATGCCTGTAACAAATCACCATCTTTCAGCTCATAAATTTTCCATCCCTATTTTTTCCCATCATACTGATCTTAACTTGCTTTCCTCAAGCTGTGAGGTATTATTTTATTCCATTGTCACTCTACTGATTATGATAAATTTTCTCATCCTGCAATATCAGAGTACTCAAAATGTGTGAATGCTGTAGAGAGAAGTCAACCATTCCAAACTGACTGATGTTTTCTTCCCATACCGTTCCCCTGGCAGTATTTAGGCATAGCCAGCATTTTCACTTCAGCGTGACGGTGTCATTAAAAATGTTACCTTACAAAGAAAATTCATGGTATTCTCCTCATTGCACTATTGTGGTGTGGGGACTTTCTAAACAAGCTTCACCTTAAGAACTGCAAGGCCTTAAAAACCATGGAGCACCCTACAGGGAACTTTGGCTGCTGTGAATTCCTAAAGGGACTCCCAGGCTGCTCTATTCCTTCACCTGCGGTAGTGGGACCACACTAAACACTTTCCTCAGCACTCCTGCACATGTGCTCGTACACCAGAGTGCATTATTCAAATTATGAACTCAGTATGCCACATGGTGTAAACCTGAATGTAGTCTAGGTTGTTCTGAAATGATACTTGAAGGGCTGATATCTTGCAAGGATGAGGAGAAAGGAGCAACAGAAGTGAGTTCTAAGGCAGATGAGCTGCAGAACGTGGAGTTCTGCCTCATCCCAAAGCTGGAATCCTCTCTGATGCACAAATGGCACTGGAAGTATCTTCCAGCTGATATTGCTTGACCAGTGTAGAAAACTATCCCCTAAATGTTGTGAGTCACAGATTTTTTTTCTGCTGAGCTTGGAAAACTGCAGCCTGATAGGAGCATAAAAATTCTAATATGATAAGTTTGCTACTCAGGGACCTGAAGTAATTGGCAATGACACCACATTGCTTGAGGATAATTACCTTTTTGAATAACTGCTTTGGTCTTACATGGTCTCATGATAACTACGAATTCATACTATGTAACTAGATGCAATACAGTTCCTAAAGGGAGCGGTTAACCAGAGAAGTCTGCCTTAGTCCCTTCAAAGAGACTTTTTGCTTTATGTGCCCCTTTTGCTCAACCATTGGCATAAACTTTTCCTTTTGGATGCTAAAACAGTGAAAAAAGGTAACTAAATACCTTGGTCAATATAACCTGAGCTCTGTGCCAATCAGAAAATGACATTTTTCATTCTGTAATTGAAACCTCATTGTAACTCTGTTGAGACAGAATATAAGGGATTAAAAAAATCTGTCCACCTTAGTAGGAAGGTGCCTAGGACACAATACCTGGGGATCAGTAAAGAGAATACATTCCATTGTATTTCATCTTTACTAAAACCTCTTGGGTACTTTGAAAAGAAATCAGACATGTAAGAATAACAGAGGAGCATCATTTATCATAAATAACTGTCAATACTCATGTATCTCAGAAGCAGCCTAATGAAGATGATGTCCAACACAGTTAAATCTGTGTCATTAGACTTCACTGGGCTGTGAAAGTATTACTCATTAGACTGCAGTGCTGGCTTCAGCCCCAAGAGAAGAATGGTATTTACACTGAATCTTGCTGGCACTACTGGGAGAGAGATCTGAAATTAGAAATAATTTTGTGCGTTTATGCTGACGATAGCAATGGGCACCCTCTCCTAAGATGCCCTGACTACAAAGCTGCATCTATTAGACCCTTCCCCCAAAAAGGCTGTAAGGGGGATTTATTGCTATATAGATTAAAAGGAAAATATCAGTGTTGATAATATATATTTTCAGGGCACTGTATGCCCCCTGTAGATATGAAAGAGCTAACAGTTCATAATGGTGTCTCTTGTCTGGAAGATTTTCACCTCATACCTCTCTGGTATGAGGCTGGCCTCCATATCGTTCTGGGAGATACTGCGGAGAGGTAAGTTTGAGTACCAAACTTATATTTTGTCAAGCACATCATGTTCTGTCATATGGTAATAAATCTCTCAGCTGTGCGTGTATCATGACAACATACGGTATTTAGATTTCTCTAGCACAAGGCATTTCATATAGCAGATCTTGACAGCAAGTGAAATTTGCCTCAACCTTGTCATGGTCTCAGCAATTTGAGGCCTCCCTGAGATGTCCTTTATGTATCCCTGAACACTGAGCTGAGCTCCTGCTTCTATGCAAGGTAGAAGAGTGGCTCCACAAACCTGGGAGAAGCTGCAGTCTACCTCCATCACTTCAAGAGTGGAGCAAGAGATCCAAGCTCAAACTGTGACCACCTCCTGGTTCCTGTGGTCTCCACTGTACATAAACACCTGGGATGCTGGAAGGGTTCTTGTCCTGCCAGGTTTTGTATACCCTGGCAGCCTACTCAAGCAATCAGAAAGCCTTCACGAGAAAGAGAACAAACCTGCCCAGCTCCTGAAAAATTTCTGAACTAACAAAAAATCCCAGTGTTCCTTTTAAAAAAAGTATTAATGAACTGAAATACAATTTCATGACTAAGCAAATTAAGAACCGTCTACATTTGAAAACCTAAAATGTCACATCAAGTAATAAGTAAAAAAGGCAGATTTTAGTATTGAATCAGAATGCATCAGCCAACTCTATCAGCCCTCATTGTAGCAGACACCATACAAACAGCATTCATTAGTTCTTGCCTGTAAGCACATATGATGACAGCTATCTTCTCCTCTTCCTAATAGGGAAACAAGGCTAAGGCAAGACTTTTAGTGCCCAAACCAGGAACTACTACCTGAGCTAGAAAGGAATGGTTTACACTATTAGACCATGCTAGCTGGAGGACTTCTCCATAGAGTATGTTCATACACACCAGAGACAATTATGTCACTATCTGTCCTTGGTTACCACCTTAAGAACTTGTGGGTGCTGGCAGGGCATTTGGTACAGAGCTCATTGGATTAATCAACCTAGATGATTTCAAGAAATCAGCTGCTACAAGCAATGGAATACCATCTCCACAGGGCCAAGGTGTGGAACAAACTCAGTACTGAAGATCATGAGTTTAGAAGGAGCTACAAAGTTTACCCTACAAAGAATATACAAGAATGAGATAACAAAGGCTGTGCATAGCTAGTGTAGGTTTGAGAAGAAACTTTTAGTTGAGCTTCAACATCTTACGGTACCTAGGAGGCAGATCCATTGCCTTGAACCACACAGTATTTTAAACTGTGCTGGAGATGGGATGGGAAATTGATCTGTCAGATAATCTTTTACAGTATTCTGTCCCACCGGTAGCTAAGAAGAGTCCAGAACTAGAGCGCATAGCTTCAGAGAGAACAGGTTTGTTAGTTTCTGGTGTCTCGTAACACCTTTTTTGGTATGAAAATGACCCAGATAACTTAGTGACAGGCAAAAGAAACTCCCTATCAGTTCACTCTTACATTCTCCACATCTTTCCTTCTTGAAAGGTGAACTTTTTTACAGATAAGACTCTTATGTAAGGGAAAGGTCTACACAATGCTCAGAAGTGTCAATCCTTCTGAAACCAGATTTTTCAAAGCTGAAACTCATCAGATTAAACAAAATACAATAACATGACATGAGCTATGGGCCAGTAGAGACTGAAAGACAGGATTTGATTTCAGCTGGAAATTAAATTGCTAACAAAATAGACTCCTGTGAACTAATCAAGGCTTTTGACAGGAGGAAATCTAGAAAAGTGCATTTTTTTCTGTCGTTCTATTTTTGTTTATTATAAAACAACCCCTATAAAAATACAAAAAATCTGGGGCTATATGTTAACATTTTTTCTTGCAAGATAAAACTTTTTCTGACTGTAGTGTTGATACTTCTCTTTGCCTTGGGACCTTAGCTTAGAGATCCCACAGCAAACAACTGCATTCAGAATTACAGTCTAATAAAGAACGTGGGTGGAAGATATAAGGCTAGAAAGTGTTGGAAGTGTAACATTGGCTTTACAAACGTGGCTCTAGAGTCTCTGGGGAAATAAGATTCTGTCTGAGTTTCCTGAACTATTTTCTATGTAAAAGCTGGGGCTATTCAAGTGTGGTTTTATGCTCTCTTGAAAGTCACTTGCAGGTTAGCTGAAACCAAGCCTGAAAATATCAAGCAGCTAAATATGTCAGCATTTGCAGACACTTTGAGATACAGCTGTCTACACATTGCCTTGGCAATTGGAAAATTGGCATTGGAAGGACCAAGATTCTCTACACTGATAAAGCAGCATAGATCCTTTAAATTCAGTAACAGGCTCCATTTGTCCCTGTAGATCTGGCTTTATTACTAGGTCAGACTTGGAGCAAGTTGAAACATCTGATCTTCATAGAAATACAGATTCTTCTTGAAGGTGAGTGCTGAAAGGATGAGATCAATGGGTAAAAATCGCAGCAAATAAAATTCTGGTTGCACAACAGGATGGTTTCCACCATGAAGGTGGTCTGACATGGGACTGGAGAGGCTGAGAAGTCTCAGTCCTTGGAGATACTCTAAAATTGACTGGACAAAGGTCTAAGTAACCTGATTTAAGCTGGCTGTGCTTCGAGCTGGGGTTGGGCAAGGTGGTCTTCAGAGGTCCCTCCCAACTTACTTCAT